GAGAATCTGGAGGAGGAGATGTCGAAAGCATCGAAATTGATCGCAGAACAGCCAAAATCATCTTCACAGAAGCGCAAGGTAGATCATTTTGAGTTACATTTGTCAGCGTTTAACTCACTTCGTCAGTGGTTGTAATCTTACCTTTAAGTGTAGAATGACCGAGGCTGTTGACGGAAACAAAAACTGCTTATAAAAGCTTAACAGATATGAAACCGAAAACTTTCTGTGGCAATTTTATGTTCTATTCAACGCCAATTAAGGCCAGTATGAAAAGTGCATTCGCATTTCACATAATTCTGTTTATATTGAAGATTGGGAAAAAGAACTTGCATAAACCTTTAAAAGGTTAGCGAGGAGAAAGGTTTTGCGAAGGTTCATAAATTTAAATTAATTCCGCGAGGAATTCACGCGCTTGTTTTACAGTATTGCCCTTTTTAGATAACTTTGCCGATAACACACGCAATAGCAGCTTCAAATCTCAAAAAAATATATAATTTTAAAGCAAGGCAATGTCTTGTGGGTTTTATGTCGCTGGATGCAACCTCTTTTATCGAGGTAGGTAATTAATGCACTATATTGTTTATATAGGCAACCAAAACAAAATATGCCATTCAAAGCAAGAATACTCGTTATATGAAATACTATCGTTTCAAGGAATACCACAAAAATAAACTTAATCGTGTAACAACTGCCTGATTAACTGTACACTAAGTAGAGTACAAATAACGAACAAATAGAGTACAAATATCAAGCGAAATTGGTCAGTTGATTATTTTGTATTGTGGAAAAAAACCTGTTTGACAGGTCGGCTACGCGTGCTACGCTTCTCTATCTGCATCACCTTTCCCACCTTACAAGAAAGATATGCACATAATATAAAGCAATTGGATAATAAATAACTTATTAGACGTTTTGGTGTGTAGTATCGCTGAGTATTTTAACTCGTTGTTTGTATTTTGACTCGCCATTGCAGTCAGTTTCATAATGAACTTGACCACATGTGTTTCCCGATTGCTTCACTCGTGTTGTGAACTAGCTGCAGTACATCACTGTATATACACTGTCCCTCATCGGTAAAGAAGTATGGGCTCGTCCAAATACGGCACCATTCGTAAAAATACTCAGAGATACTACACACCAAAACGTGCAATAAGATATATATATACTTCAGGCGTTCTCAGTCCGCTGATTTCTAAATCTATATTTCAGAATCAATTAAAATAAGGCCACAACGACAAGTCCTATGGAAATTCACAAGACGTACAACCTAACAACTAGATTTTTTTTTAATTATTATTTGGAACTAACCAAGTCGCAGATAGAGTGTTGAGCCTACCCCATACTTTCAATATTTCAATATTCAATTAATATTGCAACGTTCGCCACACAAAATATTTAGCAAAGAGGATTAAGTATTCTCTTTTAACATAGAAAGGGTAACATTTTCTGCCCTCAGCTATAAGGTACCCCAAACGCAAGAGCTGATGAAGCGTGCAGATCTTCGTTGATTTCAAAACCAAAGATGTTTCATTGTTTTCACAAGCATTTTTTTATTTATAGGTCGTAATGACATTCATAAGACGTGCAACCTAAAAACTCATGTTTTTTGTATTTACAACTGACCTAGTCGCAGAGAGAGTGTTGAGCCGAACCCATACTTTTAAGAACCATACGCTTCAAGTTACTCGCATGCCCCAACCTCAAGGAAAATCTTACAGATTGGAAGAAAAGGGGAGAGCTTCAGTGGATGAGGTAAGTCCAATTTTGTAGAACGTTCATGTTCCCTGCGATGGAGAGATGAAAGTTGGTTTCCCTGAAGTAGACGTACAGGAGGGTCCCAATGGGGTTAAGCGTTAGCCGTAAAACGGCCAAAATATTTAGCCGTTAAACGTAAAAATTGACAAATTTTAACCGTTAGTCGTAAAAAAAGTTAACCGTAAAAAATATCTCTGGTGGAAACAATGGAAAGGTGTTAACCGTTAGCCGGAAATTGGCCAAAATTTTAACCGATAGCCGTAAAAGCCATCACCCCATTGAGACCCTCGTACGGGTTGTTGGCGGTCTAGAAGATAGCACCCACTTTGATCTGAAAATAGGGGAGAACACGGCTTCCTTGTAAGCCCACATTTTAGTACGCTCACCTCATGATGTATCAATTTATTCAGATCAAATCATACCCCAAAATACGTTGGCGCTGCGCAGTTTTAACGAACTGTTTTTGGTTAATTTTCACATTTCTTTACATTTTTGTAGTTAGGAAACTCAATTAAGGGCTAGTGCTGATTGGCACTCAAGAATACTAAGGATTTCTTATTGTCTTTTGTTTACGCTGATAAACAGCAGCCTCAAAGAAATAATCATCTGTATTGAGTGCTGTAACTCAAAAGGGTGGATGTGTCGAGCCCTTTGTCAAGTAGCATATATTTCACTTTTTAACAGTTTGAAAATCAAGACACTCGTCAAAACAATAGCAGACAGCAAAATAGCAGTACAGAAGAACCTCCTTCCTCTCAGGAGTCAGCCTCTGCAGCATCAGTCCAGAGTGGATCTCCAATTCCCGAGCGATGCATAATCGAAGTAACTGGTTTGCCAGATGGTGCATCTGAGGATTTGGTAACA